TTTTTTTTTAGATTAAGACAAACAGGTAAGGAGTTATTGAAGCATTTTCAGATGAAATGCTTAAACTTGTGCTTAACTTTGATGCCCCAGCTCCTTACTCTGATTTGCTTGTCTTTATGGGCTGTGTTACTTCCCTCCGACATATCCAGCTCCCTCAGTCTGTTTAACACCAAGTGGAAATAGGAGCTTGCAACAGAAAAATACCCTTAACATCAAGTTTCCATCTCCATTTATCAGCCATAGTAGGGTTCAGAGTCTTAATGCCTTAGATTGCCTCAACATCAGATAGGATAAAACACTCCTGCAGTAATCTTCTGTTCCAGGACATGCCATCTTCATGGATAAGCTCTTTAACCGGAGTGACTCTATTCATGCCAGAATCAGTTTTGAGAGGAATGCCATCAGCCTTGCTAGAAATCCCAGGGTCCTGCCAAATATTAATAGTTGTGCCCTTCTTCACCTCCACCCTGAAGCAGTCTTGGAATTTATCCTTTACTCCAACCCAATTGCTCCATAGGCAGGAGGCATTGTAAGATTTTTTGGCCTGCAAGAGAGAGAAATCTTGGAAGTATTTACCTTTAAGCACTTTTGTCATGAGGAGATTAGGATAAGTAGCTATTCTCCATATTTGTTTGAGAATGAGAGATTCATTGAACAGCTCCACATCCTTAAATCTCAAACCACCAACATTTTTAGGCAAAGTCAGCATTGACCATTTCTTCCAGTGGATGCCCTTTTCCAGTTCTCCTTTCCCCTCCAAAAACCGGCTGATAATCTAGCAATGTCTTGGCATACTCCTTTTGAAAGACAGAAACAGGACATTGAGAAAACAGGAAGTGCCCCCAAGACAGCTTTAACAAGAACCTCCTTGCCAGCATTTGACATAAAATGATTTTTCCATCTCACCAACTTGTCTCTCACTACCTTCAGAATATAGTCAAAGGATTCTTTTTCAGACCTACCAATACCTAGAGGTAGACCTAGGTATCTAGTAGATCTGTGAGGTTGTATGTCTCCCAATAAATCACAAATAATAGCTTTCAGATTTGAGTGACAGTTTCTTATTAAGAATATGAAAGACTTCCCCATGTTAACCTTCTTGCCAGTGAATTTAAAGTACTTAAACAAAAGAGACATAAGCACAGTGGCATGAGCTTCATTTGCTTCACACATAATCAGAGTGTCATCTGCAAACATTAAATAAGACACAACATGACTATCCTTTGCAATTTTCAGACCCTTAAAGGAGCCTTTTCTTTTCTCATTTTTGATAAGTCTAGAGAACACCTCAGAGATAATAATAATAAAGATATATGGTGAGATTGGATCATCTTGTCTGATGCCCCTGGAAGCTGATACGTACCCTTTCAGATCCCTATTTATGTTGAAAGAGAAGGATGTAGATGAGATGCATTCCCAAATCCAACTAACAAAAGTAGGGTGAAATCCCATTTTGAGCATGACTTTCTTGACATTTTCCCACTCAATGCGGTCAAAAGCCTTCTCCATGTCCAACTTCAGGAGCATATAGCATTTTTTCCCTGAGGTGTGTCTGTTGAGAAAGTGGACACTTTCTTGAGCAATCACAACATTGTCCAATAACTGCCTTCCTGGGATAAAGGCAGCTTGGTTCTGGCTGATACAAGAAGAGAGGCAAGGCTTGATTCTGATAGACAAAATCTTGGCAATAATCCTGTAAGCTACTACACATAAGCTAATAGGTCTATATTGCTTCAAAGTTGCAGGATTAAAACATTTAGGGATTAGGGAAATGACAGTGTGATTCTAGCTTTTAAGGATTTTGCCAGATTCAAAGAAACTGAGAATGGCTTTACAGAAGTGTTCACATATAACATTCAAAATTTTTTGAAAGAAGAGTGGGCTCATACCATCCTGTCCAGGTGCTTTACCTGGATCAAAACTGAATAGGGCTTCTTTGATTTTCTCCTTTGTAACTGGTGAAGTGAGGGCATTCATCAGTTATTGTTTGAGGAATAAGTTGTAGCAGTTCATTTTGTAACGCCCCGTTTGAATTTGAATTATTTGAGATTATTTATTAGTTTATTATTGCTTATTTATACTATTATTATTATTATTATTATTATTATTATTATTATTATTATTATTATTATTATTATTATTATTATTATTATTATTATTATTATTATTATTATTATTAGTAAATATATTTTTTTGTGATTAAATGTCTAATTGTTTTGAATGCCTATTATTATATATATATATATTGCGTGTATTATAAATATAAATAATCCGGTTTTACTTATTTATTCCGGGCCATATTCTATTAAATCAGATCTGTTGTAAATTGGAGTCCTCAATATTCACCAAGCATCCATCAATCAAACAAGCATAAAAGATGTGCAGTAAAGAACGAGAAAAGAGAAGCAGAAAAGTGTGTATATTATTCATCGGTATTCACTCTTTTATAGAGTTTACAAAGGGAGAAATCCTAAAACCTAATCCTACTAACTAATGGACTTCAGGCCCAATTATATATATTAGTAATGTCCATATTAATATATTTATAACACTCCCTCTTGGGTATTACTACATGCCTCATTAAAAACCTTGCTAATAAAAACCCGACAGGGGAAAAAAAATTAGCCAAGGGAAAAAGAGTACATGATTTATAAAAATTCATGTGTTTTACTAGCTGCCTCGTTAAAAACCTTTAACTAATAAACCCATTGGGAAAAACTTAGTTAAATAAAAAAAGAGTACATCATTTGGTCTTCAGGACCTAATCTTCGGGATTATATTGAGTTTTTTCCTCCCCCTGAAGACAACAGTCTTCCCAGTTTACGCATACCAATACCATAAATGTACTTTTCAAAAGTAGATGTAGGAAGCAATTTGGTGAATAGGTCTGCCAAGTTCTCGCTAGACCTTACCTTCTGTACAATAATCTCACCGCTCTTCTAGAGCTCGTGTGGGTAAAAGAATTTTGGAGCAATGTGTTTTGTCATGCTTCCTTTGGCATTCCCACTACTCATTTGTAAAACACAAGCTGCATTGTCCTCATAAAGGACAGTGGGGGTTATATCATTTGTGATTCCACATGATCCACGAATATGTTGGATTAAAGATCTTAACCATACACATTCGCGTGAAGTCTCGTATAAAGCAATTATTTCTAAATGGTTTGAAGATGTAGTAACCATGGACTGCTTGACCGACTTCCAAGAGATTGCAGTACCACCACAAAGAAAAACATAACCAGTCTGTGATCTAGCATTATGGGGACCAGACATATAACCAGCATCCGAATAGCCCACCAATGTCATATCTTAATTTTTCTTATAAAGTAAACCAAGATCTTGTGAACCTTGAAAGATACCTAAGAATATCTTTAATACCATTCCAGTGTCTCCTCGTAGAAGAAGCACTAAACCTTGCTAGCAAGTTTACTGCAAACGCAATATCAGGCCTGGTGCAATTTGCAGGATAAAGTAACGCGCCAATGGCGCTCAAGTAAGGAACTTCTGGTCCTAAATTTTCTTCGGTATCTTCTTTAGGTCTAAATGGGTCCTTATCCGCTTCAAGGGATCGGACAACCATTGGTGTGCTAAGTGGATGAGATTTATCCATGTAGAATTTTTCTAAAACCTTCTTCAAGTAGGTTGACTGGTGTACAAATATTCCTTCAGGGAGATGCTCGATCTGCAGGCCGAGACAATATTTGGTGTTACCCAAATCTTTCATTTCAAACTCCGTCTTTAGGCATGAGCTAGCTTTATCAAGCTCCTCTCGTGTGCCAATTATATTTATGTCATCGACATAAACTGAAATGATGCAAAAGCCATTCGTTGACTTCTTTATAAACATACAGGGGCACACATCGTTATTCACATAATTATTTTTCAACAAAAACTCACTCAGTCAGTTGTACCACATTCTACCCGACTGCTTTAAGCCATATAATGACTTTTGTAATTTAATGCTATACATGTTGCGCGTTTCATTTTTCCTTATTTCGGGAACCTTTAATCCTTCAGGGATTTTCATATATATATTTGTGTCTAATGACCCATATAAATATGCGGTCACGACGTCCATTAACTGCATATCTAAATTCATAGTTGCTGCCAGAGATATCAAATAGCGGAACGTTATTTCATCAATTACACGAGAATATGTTTGATCAAAATCAATTCCGGGTCTCTGCGAAAACCCTTGAGCAACTAATCTCGCTTTGTATCTCACCACATCATTATTTTCATTTCTCTTTCGCACAAATACCCATTTATATCCTACTGGGATAACATTTTGAGGTGTACGCGCAATAGAGCCAAAAACTTTTCGTTTATTTAGCGAGTCTAGTTCAGCCTCAATTGCTTCTTTCCATCTTACCCAATCGGAGCGCTTCCGGCACTCTAAAATTAATTTTGGTTCTGGATCCAGATTATTGGAGATGGTAAAAGCAACTATAGAGGCAAATGTGTCGTCGACGACTATGTTACTTCTATTATAAGTTTCTCCTGTATCAACAAAATTCGTAGCTACTTCAATTTTCACATCAACTAGATCTTCATCATTTCCCAATATATTTTTATCTGGATGTTCCGCAATCCTAGTATTTTTATTATTTGTTGCACGTGCATTTAAACTAGGATTTTCGCCTTCTGGACGATTCTCTTCTGGAGATTTCAGGAGTGATTCAATATTCTTATTCGATTTTGTTTTCCGCGGATTATTGTCTTTTGTACCAACGGGTCTACCACGCTTCTGGCATGGAGCATCTGCAGGATTATTAGATTTTATGGGGACTTCCACTCGTTGTGGAGCATTTATTGAAGGTACATGAGATTTGGTCACTCCTTTATGATCAGTAAATGCATCTGGCAGATTATTTGCTAAATATTACAAATTAATTATATTTTGAACTTCAAGTTCAGTTTGATTAGTGCGTGGATCTAAATATTGTAGATTTTCTACATTCCAAGAAATTTCTCGGCATTTATTTAAGTTTTGGCTTTTATCTCCCCCTAATGCCGGAAAATTCTCTTCATCGAATATGCAGTCAGCGTACCTAGCTGTAAATTGATCCCCAGTCATGGGCTCTAGGTATTTGAGAATAGACGGAGATTCATAGCCAATATATATGCCTAGCTTTCTATGAGGGCCCATAGAGGTACGTTGTGGTGGTGATATGGGAATATAGACTGCACAACCAAATACTCGCAGATGGGAAATATTAGGTTCTTTACCACGCACTAGTTGTAAAGGGGAGTAATTATGATATGCAGTTGGTTGGATTTGAATTAGGGCAGCAGCATGTAAAATTGCATGTCCCCAACATGAAATTGGTAAGTTGGAATTTTGTAACAATGGTCTAGCAATTAATTTGATGCGCTTAATGAGGGATTTGGCTAGACCATTTTGTGTGTGGACAGAAGGTACCGGATGCTCCACTTTAATGCCCAGTGACATACAGTAATCATCAAAAGCTTTCGATGTAAATTCACCGGCATTATCCATTCTAATAGATTTAATTTGATAATCAGGAAATTGAGCTCTTAATTCAATAATTTTAGCAAGGAGCTTTGGAAAAGCCTGATTTCTAGTGGACAATAAACACACATATGTCCATCGAGTGGAAGCATCTATCAATACCATAAAATATCGAAAAGGTCCCGAAGTGGGATGAATAGGGCCACATATATCACCTTGAATCCTATGAACAAACGTAGGAGATTCAATTCCAACTTTAGTACGTGAAGGTTTCAATATTAATTTTTCCTTTGCACAAGCATCACAAATAAATTCATTAAAGGAATGGAGATTGATGCTTGATACGCTATGCCCAATAGAGTTAGAAATAATCCGACGCATCATACTAAGCCCAGGATGACCCAATCGCTCATGCCATAATTTAAATGAATATGGGTCTTTGAATTTTAAGCTCAATGCAACATGATTAACCACAGGTCGAATGTAAGTATGGTAGAAGCCGGAGGAGAAAGAGGGAAGTTCTTCTACAATTTTCTTTTGACTTCCTTGTGAATGAGTCATTAGAAGATACTCTATATTGTTTTCAGTCTTAGTTTCAATATGAAAACCATTAGATCGAATATCTTTAAAACTAAGGAGTGTTCTTTGTGATTCAGGGTACAAAAGTGCATTGTTAATTATTAATTCGGTACCCTTAGGAAGAGTAAGTAAAGCTCTGCCGGAGCCTACTATCAAGATTTTATCATGAGCAATTGTAGAAACACTCCCTTTCTTTTAATTGAAAGTTTGAAAAAATTTCCTATCTTTCAAAATAGTGTGCGTAGTAGCACTATCGACCAGACATAAAATGCCCTCTTTCTCCATAAGATGCAAACTAATGAATGGTTGTGGTACACTAAAAGAAAAGTAAAACATTGTAAGCAAACGAAGCAATCATGAAGTCCCAATCAAAACATAACGTCTAAAAACATACCAATAGCAAAAATAAACCACAAATGTCTAGCGAAGCAAAAGCAATCAGAACTGTCTGGTAGCAAGAAACAACCACGAAATAAAAATATCCAGTTCTAAGATAAAATGCATATTAATCACACATCATCACCATAATTCTCGAGCTCAAGCTTCAATAAATCATCATCATCAGCATTGAAAGCTAAATTTGCTTCAGGCAAACTAGCATGATGTGATTCACCTTGAGGAGCCTTTCCTTTCTTATCCTTGAGCATTCTTTGATAGGCTTCAACTAGATGCCGAGGAGTACGACATGTGCGGGACCAATGATTGTCTCATCCACATCTAAAGCAAACCTGCTTCTGTTCTTTAGGTTGTGGATGTGAATCGCGTCGATTTGAACGATGTAACACCCCGTCTGACTAATACATCAGAGTACGCGGTTTTTCGCAAATTTTCTGAATAAATAAATAAATAATAAACTAACTTCTTAATTTGCGAAACTGATTCGAGGGTTACCGTGAAAACATAACTTCTGAAAACCGTTAGAATTTAAAACTGAAACGTGTAACGGTTATAATTTATTATCCGACTAATGTCGGAACAAAGTTTGAAGGTTTTAGCGGAAGTCTTAGCGTGGCAATAACATGAAAGTCTGATAAAAGCTCTGAAAAGTTTGATCA